GGTGATAAAATCACAAACGTAATGAACCCCCTGTGCTCTGCGTTTGCGGGGAGTTATCAAACCAAATGTTTCCTAGCTGCTGTTTGCAAACGTTACCGCACTGGTGTCGTTCACGTTTGGGTAAATTGAAGTTAGCATTAATCCTGTTGCCAGCTTTTAGTTTTGACTGAATTTGATTTAAAAAAAATATGTATATAGTATATCGTTGCCACAGTGGCTGGAGAGCTCAGGGAGGAGAGGAAGAGGAGGGGGTGTTGACGTGTGCTATGGGGCAGTTCCCTAGAGCCTGGGAATCAGCACAAAATGCCTTGTGGAAGGACTGCACTGAAAAATGCTAATCGAAAATCTAGTTCTACTAGATTCTACTTCCCACTAATGCTTTCTAGTTAGCTATAGCAGCATTTTCTTCCTCCTTCTATTATTCACTTGAAAAAAAATCTAACAAAACCACCCCAAAAATTCCACCATAACCTCTGTAATACAATCACTGACTGTGCAATGTTCAATATTATTAACACTGTAATCTTCTTTCTTTTTCCCCTCACAAACACCGAGCTGTTATAAATAATTCTGATAACGTGCTAGCACGTTAAGGCTCCAAAGGAATAGGTGATGCAAGAGCTTATAAGATTAGTTTTGACCCTACCCACAAATTTATAGTTTTAATGGAATAGGGAGATAATGTCTCCATTTCCCAACTGTGGCACCACAGGTTAAACAGTTTGGCCAAGCTCCTGCTTCAAGTCCTTGATAAAGGTCTGGGATTCAGGCAGAGTTCAGCCTAAATCTTCTAAGTCACACTTCCTTGCCTGGCCTTTTACTATGTCAAATTATCAGATGCTATTGAGCTGGGATGCTTGGTTGTGATTTTTTTCTTTCTTTTTTTTTTTTTTTTGATGAATTGATGTAAAATTTCAAAGCATCAGTTTTAGATCTTAGAGAATAAACAGAAATAGAGACCAATGGCTCCAAGCTTTAGTGTTCCTTGTAGAAATGTGATGATACAGTATTATCTAATTCTGCAGTCCTTGATCTTCTGTAGATCTGCCTGTTCACAAGATAACACTATTCCTAAGGAGTGATGTGTTGAGTAAAATTAAATAAATAAAAAAGTTGAAATTTGTGCATTAAAGGAAATGGAAAAAAATATGCTTTAGGGACATTTTTAGGAAAGTTTTGAAACTAATGGGTGTTTTAACTGAATAGGATTGTGGGACTTTGTTCCTAAAGTGTTGTCAGTCGACAGCAAAATCAAGTTTGTAAATCAATACACACATTTCACATCTGGGCATTTTTAGATACGATCTGAAATGAATCTTTAATAACGCATAACTTATATTACATAAATTTTAAGCAATATCATTGCCCAACTCTGAGGAACTTTAATACGTTGCAGATTCCTTTGTTTAATTACACGTAATATAGCTAGATAGTGCTCTACAGTTTTTAAAAATTAATTGTGAGTGCACACCTGATTATTATTGGTTATATATGAACTAACAGTGATTCATTTATTTAAATTTTGCAAGATTTCATCTCATATTAAGCGCCTGAAGCAATTTTATACATTCAATTGTTGCAAGGCCTGTTCAAAAATGAATTTTGTAACTCAGGCCTGTAGACTAACAGAGTTTTAATTGTGGGATTATGGAAGAATTAGTGTTATGTTCTACTTGAACCTCGTAATAACCCTTAAAAGTGCAATTACTGTGCATTTCTGTTATGACATTTAAAATGTATTGAAATAATGTTAAATTCCTTCATGGTCCTTTATTATATAATTATTAAAATGAATGCCAAATGCTAGAATGTTAAGAATGGGTCCATTCCTGGAGATAATTACCCTGTTGATTGTAGAGAATTACTCAGATATCAGAGGACAGAGTATCTATTTCTGTTGAGGGAATCCTAGTGTAGTTTTCATATAGTCATCAGAATAGTAAAAAGCTTTGACTGTTGTTTTTGCTTCTAATTTTTCCTTATATTCTGTTTTCAAACAATCAGGAAGTGGAGACTCCTGGCAGCCACTTTGTCTTTTACTTTTTAGCTCTGTTTGGAATAGGGGAAGTCAGAGGTGTATGTGTTTTAAAGGAACACAGGCAAATATATGAGATTTCATGATCACACTCCTCTTTTCAAGGTACTTTTTATCCTTAAGTTGCAATTAATAGAGCAGAATTTTTCAGCTTCCTGCTTACCCTAATAAAAAAGATGACTTGATCCTGCCTCTTCCTACACGCGGGAATTTTCCGCTCTGAAAATGAGGGTTGGATTTGGAGTAAGAATGAGAGGCGACCTGCTACATTTCTGAGTAAATGGCATCATTTCAGCAATCCTGATCGCTGTCTTCACTGTGACTTTAATCAGCAGAAATTCCCCAGGGCAGAAAAAGACATCAGGCTGCGCTGCAGGCGGAAGTTGCAATTTTCCACTGAAGTATCATTGCAAAATGAATGGTAGCTCTGGGACTGCCAAAGAAAACCACATCCTCCTTGTAGCTCAGCCGCAGCCCTTGTGTTTGTTTCTCAGTTAACTATTAGTACTGAGGGAGAAAGATGAGAAAAATTAATAGAGAGGCAAGCATAAGCGCTAGGAAATAGAATAGATTAGGGGTACCGAAGAATAGCTGTTTTACGCAGTACCTAACCTACGTAAGCTGTGGCGGTACGTTAGTCTAAGCACGTAACCGAAGGCACAACATCGGGGCTTTCAGACTACTTAATGGCTTTTTTTTGTCTAAACTGAATTAGTTCCCTAATTTGGTTTGATAAATAGGAAGGCTCTTTTGTGTAGAGAACGTGATGGCGTGTAGAAGGAAGGAACAGGGTTTCCAAAAGGGAGAGATTCCTGGAAACGTAGAGCAGCTCAAAAGCAGGGTTAAGTTCATATCACCTGAAAATTTTTATTTTAAATCTCATTGCTGTCTATTGTCTATTTAGAATTGTTTTCTGTAGTGAAGATTCCTCCAGCCCCAAATGTTTTCCTCAAGACTGCACCACAGTTCCTTCCTCCACCCAAAAAGGTGCAGTAAATCCTCCAGCAGCAACGAACCAGACCAGTGCGTGTGTGCTTGGAAACCCTTGAACGTTGCACTACAATTCTGTCGTACCTCGCTTGTTTGTACGGCAACACCATGGCTAAATTCTGATTTAAATGCTTATTTTTCTAAAACTGCTTCTCTGATGCCTACTTTTCTGCCTAGCTGCCTTTCATTGAAAAAAAAAAAAATCACATTACTTCTTCTGTGTTTGCACAGTGCAACTGATATGTTTGGAAAAGCAAAGAAAAAATGAATTATTAATAGAAACTGTGTATGAAGATTTACTTTTTTTTTTCCAGAATGCCTAAACAACTAATGAAGAAATGAGACATTGCAATGAAAAATGTCATAAATGCAAAGGCTGTTGGAGAGAGTTGTATTGAAGAAAACTGTTCTATGAAACATTAATTTCTTAATGCTAGGAACATTTTGTTAGATGGCAGCTGATTCTGAAATATTGTCTATAATTCATTATCATTCACAATGCCATGATTCAACTTCTCCTCCTGTTTTGAATTAGTATAAAACATTTTTAAGAGCAGTTTTTTAAAATGTTTAGAAATTGCAAGTAATGAATGAATGAATTCATATTCATGTCACATGAAAGGAATTTATTTTTTGAGCTATGCTTCTAGAGAAAAATCAACAGCAAAGCAGAAAAGCAGAAGATTTTGCTTAAAAAATGTGAGAGCCCTTTGACAAATAAAGCGAGCATCTGAAAATGTATTAATACAGGACTTTTTTTAGTCTAAAAATTGACCTAAAATGCCTCAGCATATTCTATGCTGTTTCCTGAATATTTCTTCACCAACTTTATTAGCAAGAATGATACGCACATTGTATGGAAAAGCAGGCTGGCAAAGGGAATTCTTAGATCTAGTTTGTATAGTCACTTCAAGGAAATATTACCTATCCTGAGTTACAACTGAAGACATTTAAAAATTCATAATCCCTCACGTCTTTGGCATTTACCTTCTCACAAAAACGGGAGCCATCTTTTCTGGTTTCCATTCTGTTGCTTATTTACTAGTTCCTTGTACTCTTCTGACCTGAGAAACCTGGGAAAAGAGTCCTTCGCCATGAGACTATAGATTAACCTCTGAGCATCGTCAAAGCAACTGAGGGTGGGCTCCGAAATGTTCTGAGAGATGTGGTTTCTGGTATGAAAGTCAATATTTATCTGTAGGTAAGAAGGAGGCATAAAATTAATTTCACTTTGATTGGAAAGCTGTGTACATGGCAATCGACATTTGAATTTCCTCTCAAAATGCCCTGCCTGAGGCAAACTGGCAGGAAGTTTATGTCTTCATTTTCTAGTATACTGAATTCTTAATTTAATTTGGCTTTCTAGTCTTAAAGAAATAATATCACTTTAAAAAAAAAAGAAAAGGAAAAACTTGCCTCTGATTATCTCACCCTTTTTTCCAAGCCAAATCCTATGAAGTACTGATTACAGAGGAGTTAATTAGAGATGTAGGAATTTAGCATCTTTTTAGGACTTGGCTCAATAAATGCTGTAAGGATTTTTTGTTTTTAATAGTAATAAAATGGATTTTGATCATCCGTAGGATATGGGGACGTTCAAATCACAGTCACTGTCAAAAGCAAACCATCAGTGTAAAAGCTTGTTGTGAGTGCACATCTGATGGATCATTAGCAAATATTTTCCTTCACAGAAAGCAATTTTAACGTAATCGTCAAGTTGAATGCGTTTTAGTATTTGTCATGTCAAAAATACCTGTACAAAAGAAAATGAACAAATAATGATCATTAATATTCCAATATCCTAGTACCTATAATATGGAGGAAATGATGCTAAAAAGTAGTGAAAACAAATTATACTGAACATGCACTTCCTTAAAGGTTAAGGCAGAAATTTCCGAAGGTGAGGTAAGCCTGTGGCCTGTGTGAAGAACGTATGTGAAGTATTACGTGACCGTCAGGTGTCTTTGCTTCACAGGGTTCCCCGCAGCTTTCTCCCTGGCAAATAGGAGATGTGAAAACGGAAGAGACGCCCCGGGGAACTGCATTTTCTGTCACTTGGAGGAGTTTGGTTCTGAACTTCTGGCTCGGTTCCCGTCCTCAGTGAGTACCCCGAGTACATACAAAGGCCATTTACCTCCTTTGGAGCATCAGCTTGTATGAAATCAGAATAAATCTTTTGGGCTTTTGAGGCAATCTTAGTCGAGGACTTGGTTTTCTTGAAGTCCTCGCAGGCCAGCCAGAACTCAATGTTCTCCTCGCTGAACTCGGACTTCAGAAACGTTCTGAAAGCTGCCAAGCCCTCTGGAAAAGAGCACGCGAGGTCATGGGCGGAGGAAAACTGAAAGATCTGTTATTTGTAGAGGTATCGTACACACAACCGTTTATTTGTCTGTTACTGTTCTACCTGCCAGCCAGGAGTTAATCCTAAAAGGCTGTTGTGGGGCAAATAAACAGGAGATGAAACAAAAGCAGTGATAAGGTGACTAAGGGAATTTATTTCTTTTAGTTGAGGAATGCTCCTAATAGCTGCCCAGCGTAGATCTTTCTAACGCTGACCGGCTAGTTGAGAAGGGGATCTTGGAGATTTTGGTCTATAAAAGGATTGGACGCGACTAGGCAATCCGTGATTTGAGGCTGACATCTGGTCTAAGAGGTACCCTGAACATTAAGTCATACTGTGGAGAAGTAGCACGCTCCTCTCAGAGGTAAGGGTAGCCTGGCTAAACAGCGCTTACTCCTGCTTTCAAGTAATGATGTAAGTTTTCAACAAAGAGGAGGACTCTTGAACAGTTTGTTCAGTATTTTGTGCCCTTTAAGAGAAAAAGTGAAACAAAGAAAGGAGATTTTGGAAGAAGTTGTTTTGAAATGAACCCACATCACAACCTCCTAGAAGAGAAAGCTGACAGCACCCAAACTTTGCTGTGTTTGTCAGATTATTACTACTCAGAAAAGGTGGGGAGGCACCCCGGGGCCCAGGCCACAAAGTGCCAGCAGGAAAATGGTGCAGGTGCAAGGAAATTTGGAATAGCTCCACGTGGTTTAAGTTAGGTTTAAGTTCAGTAGGAGTGAGATCGCTTGGAGAAGGGAATCTTGAATTTTTAGAAATAATCACTCTTTGACTGAAAATATCAGACACAACACGTGTATATTTCTTTGTAGTGGGAATATCTAAGAAACGGTTTTATTTGATTTTTTTTTTCTTCATGCTTACATTAGTGAAATGCATTAGCTATAGTATGAAGAGCAGAAATCAGAACCTACTCCCCTAAAGCATCAAAGTTGTTCAGTTCCCGTTCTGCTTGCTTCACTATCATCACGTGAGTCCTCCTGATAAACTGTGTAAATTCAGGATCAGAGCATGAGTTCGATTTGTGTTCGACTGCCTTGTTGTTTCAATGGTATTTGAGAACAGCTTTACTCTGTTGAAAAGCAAATAGCACAGCTGCTGATTGCATAATTTAAAAAATAGGAAAGAGAGAACACGTTGCACTGAGTGTAACCACCATTACATGCATAAAATAAAACTCCTGTCATATTAATTCAGCCTTGTTAAAAGTCCCTTAAGTGTTGGTCAGAAGGAATATCATGCTTGCAGCTTGAAGAAACGTGTCGCCTCCAGCTTTCGGTGCACCAGCTCAAATGCCTCTAGCGATAGGGCTGATGCAGTTCGAAGCGCAGGGTGAGCTGCACCGGAAAGCAGTGTGAAAACCTGACATCAGTGTTTGTGAACAGTGTTGATGCACTTTAAAAAAAAAAATGTATTTTTAATGTACTTCTTACCTTTATTGGCTAGTAGCGTATCCACAGACTCAAGCCAGGCCATAGTTTCCCTAGAGGTTGACCTGTGGAAACAACATCTATCCTTGAAAATAGCATTGTGATCTTTTGCCGGTGTGGTCTATCATAGTCATTCTGTTACTTGAAGCTTGAGCTATCTCACTGAGGGAGCAGGATGAGTTATTTGTGTTACCCTGTGTATGTATGAAAGTCAACAAAAAGTATGACTCTTAGTTGTTTAGCGGGTAGAGAACCCATCCAGACTCATAAAATAGACTGTTATTTGACATTGTCTGTTTGATTATTCATCCAGGAGACAGTAGTAGTAATGTTTGCAATTGGCTGACTATAATAAAGGCAAAGGAAGGATATTAGTATTCTGGAGTGTGTATTGAATTTCTTCTCAAGTTTGAATGGATTAGCCATTAATTTATATGACACTTTCTGCTTGGAATGACTAGAAACCTGTTCCCAGTCAAAAAACCTCACAAATTAATTTGTGTCAACCTTAGTCACTTTATACTGAAAAGTTCTTCTAAGATAATCTTACTGGTTTCAGACATCCAAATTTAGAGAGTGTAATTGCTTTCAACCTCATACTTAGGCCTTATGTTCATGTCCCTTAGTGAGGACAGTAACTAGTCCTCAGGTGTGACAGTGTCAACACAAATATTTAACTGCAGGTATATTCATAAGCATTGCTGTAAGGTTAATGCATTGACATTCTTCAAAGGCAAGCATTATTTTTTGTAGCTGTCAGTTTACTTGTTTACTGCACAAAATGATGTTTAAAGGAAATAAAATTATGTACGTTTATATATATATATATATGCACACACACACAAGTGAAATGGGAGTTGTAAATGTATGTATTGAAAACACGATTGAAAAGTAAATATAGCAATACATAACATTTTGTGACATGTTATGAGCTGATAGAATTAACTAGGAGAGAATTTGTTTTTAGTAACTTTAGTAAGCTTTAATTAAATGTATAACAAATCTATGAGTTGTTCAGTGAATATTGAACAGCTTTCCTATCAAATGATCAAGGACCAGGCTAAGACAAGCATGGACCTAATCCTGCTCATCTTCCTCACGAATAATATTCTTTGAATCATTCAGAGAGCAATCTTGCTAACCTCATTGGATTTACTTGAATGGGAATGGCAAGCAGAAGCGACGACAAGGAATCAGGATAATCATGTATGCTATAAAGTGGGAAGGAAAATAAAAGCTGTCCAGATTAATCAAAAGTTGACCGTGCCGTCCCATAAGTCTCCTCAGATTAAAAGAGCCATAAACAACAACTCACTTCACTGGCATTTTTTGTTCCACTGTCTGACTGTCTCAGGTAAAGCAGAATTTCTTTTTCTGACTGATCTTCAAGCTGAAGGCAATGTGACAGCAGGAGCACAGAAGGCAATTGGTATCTGAATAACCAAAGAATGTAATGCAAACTGACACTCTCAAGTGTCAATTTTAACACTTTCAAGTTATTTCTGTTTCAGAAACATGGCTTATTTTTTAGCAGTGGCCAATCTAACTTAATCTATGAAAGGCAAAGAATCATTATTTAACTAAACACATTTTATATGCAAACATCTTTCAAGATGTATTTATGCTCTGAACAAGATTTTAGTAGAGAAATCATCTTGTGATTTTTTTCTCATTGACCATTTGGCTTACTGACTGTGGAAAAGAAAAAAGGAAGACAGATTCAGTGCACATCACTAGAAAATTCTTCACTATAAGTAAATGAATATATTCACTCTTACGTTGTATTCACAAATCTTACCCCTCACCTTATACATCTTGCTGTTCTAAGGTCCCTGAAGGCCATCGTCTCTTTTGTTCATTTATGCAAGGCCTACCACAAGGGGACCAAATAGTGCTGGGGTGCTCATAGTATGCACACTGATACCATTGCATCTAAAGAGGTCACGTGGTGACTGCAATATTTGATGTTTTTAATGCAGTGATTTTTCCCATCGTTATTGATACGTCCTTCCATGTGTCTCCTTCTAGGGGAATCATTCTGCCCCCAGAACATTCTTGTGACATTTTGTCTTCTGCTCTTGATGTGGTATCTCTGCCATTTTCATTTTAAAGAAATGAGGTACTACTTTTGGAGGATTATGATCTTAACTAATTTAAATTAAAGGGTTATCACTGTGTTGTTAGCACAAAGTCCAAAAAAACCCCTTCTAAACAGACAAACAAAACAAAGTTGAATGATAAGAAGTTGCATGTAGATGCTTACTTTTCCAAACCAGTAAGTATCCTTGAAAATTTCTGGACGAATCCTAGAAAATATTTATGTGTTTGTGTATTCTAATGTGCCTTTGTTTAGACTGCATGTGAGGATCTCAAAGCAATTGACCATAGGTGATGTTACTACAGCAAATAATACTAAAGGAAGTGAATATGTCTTGGTGTTTTCAGGAGGAGGCTTTGCTTTTAAACACCTTAGGTTCTCACTGAGGAGTGACAAAGATTTAGGAGCAGTACAGAAAAGGTGTTGAATTTTCAGCCAAGCAACGTAATTCCAGATAAAGGCTTGAATGCAGATTTTCTCCTGATTTAAGAGAGCAATGTCAGTAAAGTCAGGGCAGTTACAAGGATGGAGATGACACCACATCTAGCAACAAATCCTTCTTGCATGCTTCCATTCAGTCCCACTGATATTGTATACTCCGTATACAATCCTAGTGATTATACGATTCTCCCACCTTAGGAACTCTGATTGTAAATGAAATGCTTTAGAAAGCACAAGTGCTGTTGGTGCGTTGGCTACCAGAAGCATATTTATTCTCGAACTACTTATAATTCTCATCCAGTGTAATCAACAGTGCAGTAGAGTACATCTGAGTAGACCTTGTTAATGCGAGTAGTCCCATTAGCTCCTGTGAGACTATTCATGAGAGGAAGAGTTGCAAAATCTGTGCCTATTCTTTTGTAATCAACTGATGATATACATTTAAAAAAGAAGTTTGAAACAGGGTAACAGATACCTTTTAAAAAATTTCTAATTGCTTGATGTCTGCATGATACAGATATAACCATTCCCTGAAGACTTTCAATGTATATACATTTTTTAAAGTCAATCTTTCTGATTACTGTAATTTAAAAAAGCTCCTAATCATGTATCTGACTGGATAGACCCTTTTTTTTTTTTTTTAAGGATATTTTGGGATTAATGTTTCTCACTGCATTTTGGTTTCTTTTTCATCACTGCTTTGCCATAATTTTGGACCTTTCAAGCATCATTAAGGCTATTCCATTGTGAAATGAAATTAATTTCATAGCAAATCATCATAGCAGCTGTGGAAGGATGCAAATAGCCATGCTTTTCTGTATAGCACACAGTAACTAGGTGCATGTGATCAGACTCCTCTTGCATTATACAGGGTACTTATCCTGGGA